TCTTGTTGAGAGGCGGCGACAAAATGGGTCATCTGGTTTCCATCTTTTCTCTGTGTATCAAACATGTAATTTTCTAGAGGGGCCCTGGTAGATTTGTCTTAGCAGATAGAAGAAAGTGTTAACAAAACAACTTTCACTAAATTCGAAGTGTGGGGTCCCCGGAGCTTGGGTTTCACAGGTTCGATTAAATTTAGTAACTGATAGCAATGGCCTATGGAATCTGTAGTTTTGCCACCGTAGGATCTGCTTGGAGACTATAAAACACCCCCATGATGTCTATGGAGATTTCAGGGCAGAGATACGAGGAAAACTACCGAGTGTTCAGGAGTGAGGATTGGGTTATCTTTGCGACTCAACCGTGACAGGGAGAGGTCAGTGATAAACACACGACATGAAGTCCTGGAGGTCCTGTAGGGACAACCGTAAACACAGTCCTAACATTTATCTCGGAGAAAACTGTTTCTTGAATTCACGGTCTCATCTGCATGTTGAAGGGGATATGTACTGTACATAAATGGGGCCTGACCTATATATATATCCAAAAAAATATCTGTGTGTGGGGGGTGGGGTGGTGGTGGGGGGCTCTGTCTACCATGCCAAAGCTGACCTATGGCCTTGGAGATAGTCCGGGATACAAGGTTACGGCCTAGTCAGCTTTTTAAGTACCGGGTGTCTCATCCAGAGATGTGCGAAATGCGATCCACACTTCGAATTTAGTGAAAGTTGTTTTGTCAACACTTTCTTCTATCTGCTAAGACAAATCTACCAGGGCCCCTCTAGAAAATTACATGTTTGATACACAGAGAAAAGATGGACACCAGATGACCCATTTTGTCGCCGCCTCTCAGCAAGAGACACAAGAAGAAGGCACCGCGGAGCTCCCAATGCCGCTATCTCACATGTAATCTAATACTAATCTCCAAGCAGATATTTGGGTGGCTGGAATACAGTTTCAAACTTTCCAAGCAGTATCCAGTGTATCAGCTCTTCCCCACAGGAAGACAAATTCAACTAGTGAGGTGACCTGAATCGCACATGTTAGAAAGTAAAAATATTATTTTGGTTGCACACAACATTTTTGTTTCTCTTTTTAAATAAGGGAACATGCAATTACCTTTGCGAGGTCAAACCCTGAGTCTGAAGTCTAGGAGGGAGCCGTTTTTTCAATCCCAAAGCAAAATTAGCGACGTCCGTCTAGCTTCCAGCAGGCTTTCCTCAGCTTCTACGGGGGTACTGATCGTAGAATTTGTGAAAAAGAAAGAAGTAAATAGTGTGCCAGGAGAGTCAGTCCACGGGAGGGTGAATTTCCCCCTTCTGAACGGCAAATGATCTCTACGGTGGCTAAACCCCTCTAGTCAATTATTCTCCCTTTTGGCTAAATTTACTTTATTCGAACCCGCGTTGTTAGTATGGCTGTAGACTGTCGGGCCTGTCAAACCCCTATTCCAAATCTATTTATCCAGGGGTATTCTGCAAGCAAAAAGGCGAAATGGTTAAGTTTAAAACTCCCTGATGTCAGGGTCATTATGCAGATTTCAAGCTCACCTCACCAATACAGTGACTGTATGGGAGCTTGTAAATGTTTTCATGACCTTGCATTCCCCATATCTGCTTGAAGCTTTCCAGCTGTCTGACACCCTTCCCCTGCCGACTAGCCTGACGGAACTTCGCTTTTCGCCGGCTTCCTAGTTAAACTAGGGAGCTTTTCGCCGGCTCGCTTTTCGCCGGCTCCCTAGTTAAACTAGGAGCTTGGGTTTTACAGGCTACCCTGACCACCAACCAACCAAGTGTCGCTGACGCCCCGAGTTTCTGTATCTGTACATGTCATCATCATCATAGTCCTTTTCATCCTGTCGGACGATCAGTTCACAATTTGTGGGCCCGGCGGTGTGCAGCTAACCCAGCCCTGCTTCTGCAGGGCTTGTTGCAGATCTCACAAGTGAAGGCTGAAGTGAAGCATTGTTCTTTCCTTTTCTCTCTTCTGGCGCTGTCTTTTCGCTGCAAGTCGTTTTCTATACTTGCAGCACCTTGCTGAAGCTGGCACCTCCAAGAGGTACGGTCCATTGCAAGACTTTCCCAGGCAGCTCCGATGTGGAATGACTTCAGGTCGCGCCTGCAGACATCAACAAAACGAAGCTTTGGGCGCCCCCTGTCGCGTTTCCCGTCGGCAAGCTGGCCGTACAAGACTTGGTGGGGTAAGCGAGACTGGTCCATACGGGACACGTGGCCCAGCCAACGCAGGGAAACATAGAATACTCCGAAGAAAAATACTTCTTATCCCAAAAGAACAGTCACCCTTAGTGTTAATCTCCAAGCAGATCCTAGGGCAGCATAAGACAGTATCAAATTGGCCAGGCAGTATCCAATTGGCCCAATACAGTGGCGTATTGGACCCTCTCTGGCCAATTT